GTCAAGCATGCATCTGTCCCTTTGACTTTGATAGTTTCTTGGGTTGTAAAGAATGTGATTTTGCACTCCATGAAACTTGTGCAAATCTTCCTAGGAAGCTGGAACATATATTTCACCGACATTCGGTAACCTTAGAGGTGAACATCATCGAAGAAGGGTTCTTTCGTTGCACTCAATGTAAACGAGAATCATGTGGTTTCATGTATCGGTGCTGCCAAGAGGAGTGTGAGTTTAAAATGGATGCAAAGTGTGCTTCCCTGGCTGATATAATATACACTCCAGCCGACTTACACGCTCTCACTCTAATAGACGATGGGGCGCATTGTTACTCCTGCAATTTCTATTTGGATCCAAAAAAACTAACTCTACCGGTGTTGGTAAAATACAACTATGATATTCATCCACTCATATGTTTTACTACACCAACATCATATTGCTGGTTATCGTGGCCGTTCCGTTGTGACATCTGTGAAATAATAGTAGAAGCAGAGCATCCGGATTACCGAGATCTATATGGTTGCCGCGATTGCAACACCGTTGTACACTTTGAGTGTGCAATAGGGAAATACCCGTATCTGAAACCTGGTCATACAATCAAGCTGAATGGTTTTGAGATTGAGATTGCATCCAACAGTCTTTCTCGGCCGAGATGCCATGCATGCCACTCTATCTGCCGAGATAAACTTGTTTTCAAGAATAAGAGCAGTGCCATTTCTTTCTGTTCTATCAACTGTATTACCTCTTCATAGAAAACCTTCATGCAATATTACATGTATAGAGTGCTTGCTTAAAATAAGTTTTTTTTTTCTTCTAATTCCAAGTATGTGTGAAAAATAAGATCTTGCTTTTCTTTCATGTAGTTGTAATTTTAAACTACCACGAAACGAATAACTTTGTAAGATAACTTTACAGAAATGGTCGCATTCAAGAAAGAAAATATATTACAGTTATGTTTATTTATCTTATATATTGAATTTTAAAAAAACATACTTCAACATGGGAACATTTCAAAGATTTTTGAAAACATATAAATCCAAGTCTCGGCCTCAAAGGCATCGCAAGCGAACAATAACATACTCCATCCGTTCTTTAAACATACATATTCTAGAGAAAAAAAATTGTTTCTAAAAGATCTATTTTTTACATTTTCAATGCTTGTTTTATTAACTAATTGTAAACTTAAAAAAACTTAATTTCACAAATTGAGTTTTTATTGGTTTAAAATTATGGAAAGAAGATAAATACAAAAAACTATGCAAATTTATTATGTTTTATTAAAAATGTGAAAAAACTAGAATATTGATATTTTAGGAATAGAGAGAGTACTTGTTTACATATTCTAATTGTATTTGTCTTTTAACATTAATAATCATTAGTTTAGTAACTTTTAATCCGAATCAATTGAATTTTTTAACACACATAATCAATAACAATGAACGATATTTATTAGTGTAGTACTGTTACAACTTTCTTTTTTGTCAGCAAAGTAATGTTACAACAAAAAGTAGAAATATTATATTCTTTCTGTTTCAAAATAATGTATATTTTAACGTTGCAAAAAATTTTAATTGATTATCTATTTTATAAGCTTACACCAATAAAAAATCAGTAAAAACAGTTACTTTTATGAAGTTTACAAATAATCATTATTAACTGATAAAAACATTAAAATAAAAATAAATATATAACTTTTTTTCTTTAAAGCACTTCTTTATGAAACATAAGTAGATTAAATATTTATATTTTTAAAATATACATTGTTATATATTACTCTTTTTAAAATTAGAAGAATAATTTTAATCAAATTGATTCAAATCGTATATATTAAAATAGAAGTCACAACCTTGATTCATGTGTGTTTTTTTTAAAAATGGACTATTCCTTAAAAAAACTTATGAAGATTATCAAATGTTACATAATTTAATGATGATGTCTTTAAATATCTTTATCTTTTTATTTGAAATATAAATAAAATCTTATATATTAAAACAGAAGTCACAACCTTGATTCATGTGTGATTTTTTTTTAAAAATGGACTATTACTTAAAAAACTTATGAAGATTATCAAATGTTACTTAATTTAATGATGATATCTTTAAATATCTTTATCTTTTTATTTGAAATATAAATAAAATAAATCCAACAAAATCTTTTTGGCATCTTCTTAAATTATATTTCCATAATATTATCTTTATCTTTTATTTGAAATACAAATGTTTTTGTTTAAGATATTAAAATTTATCTAGATATCACTATATATTCCTAAATTCTAAATTAAAAGCTGTATACTAGAGTTTGACCCACACAAGTTTTTTTTATTTTATAAATAACACTTTGATAGTATTATAAAAATCTAAATATATTATTTACATTTAATGTTATATATTATATAACTCTATAATTTAGTTTTTTAAGTTTCTTATTCGTCATTGTTAATATAAAGTGATTTTTTATATATTTTAATTTATATTCTTATTGATTGTTATTACTTAATAATATATTTTGAGTTTGGTACATAAATTATAATCTGAAATAATCAAATATATAATCTTATTTAACATAGAGTTTTAGTTTCTGGACTTTGCATATAATATATTTTAACATTTATTTAGATACACTATAGATAAATATTTGTTAATGATAATTTATATTTTCATGTTGTGTTTAAAAATGATAATTTAACATCTATTATTTTAGTATTTTGCGAGATTTTATAAGTTAATATAGTATTATTTATTGATAATTTTTTTTATAAACTATAAATAAAAGGAAAACCCGCACGGTTGTGCGGATCGAGATATAGTTAATACTTAAAAAGGGTTTTTAAATTCTCCCAACGTAACTAAATTTACACTTGTACATGATTTAAAACATCATTCTCTAACCACTGGATCACTGACAAAATCTTTATGTAATCAAGATTGAGAAAATTATCATAAGTCGACATGTAAATATATAAATCCGGCAGGTGAACCACAAATTAATAAATTAATTATTTTAATATATAATTATATATTTCCTATTGAAAATATGAGAAGTTTAACATTTTGTCAAAAATAAAATTTTAAGTGTTGATATATTTTATATTATATCTCCCTAACTCTTAGCTTGTTAAAAGTTGTTGTTTAAGTTATTTTAAATATTTTTTATGAGAAATAAAATTTAAAATAAATTTAACAAAAATGAAATATCACCATTTCCTTTATTTTGAGAGTCGCATAATGAAGTTTAATAATCACTACTAATAAACTATTTTAATCAATATCAAATACGATAAAAATTAGAAAGTTCAATAGAATCGAAGGAGATACAAATTTTATGCGGCACTAGAAGAAGACAATACGTTAACAAGAAAATAGAAAATGAAATCCTAAGCTTTTATTTGGAATACAAAACAGCTTTTAATAAACTGAACTTAAAAACTTTAAAAAACAGAAAAAATCATTTACTGGCTCAACCGACGGTCCAACAACCTTGGATTACCTGGTTTAAGATTTTTTTGTGAATTTTATCAAATTTTTAAATAGTATATACTTTAAAACAAAATTTAACCGGATTATTTCTTGAGTCACAAGTTTTACCGGTTCGCTTACGGATCCGTTATAAATTCACTAGTTTTACTTTGCTTTCTACTCATTTATTTTATTTTACGATTAAACACTTTATAATCTGAAGTAGGCCTGGGCGTTCGGATACCCGTTGGCGTTCGGATCGAATTTCGGGTTTTTGGGTTTACGCTCATAGGTCTCATTCTAATATTTTATTAGTACGGATCGGGTTCGGATAATAACACTTCAGGTTCGGTTCAAATTTGTATTGCAGCATAAAATCCGTAAAATAACCATATATCGTTCGGATTCGGGTTATTTCGATTCGGTTCGGATATACCCAAAGTATAAAACAAAATTTCGAAACAAAAACATAAAGAAAAACACTGAAACTGAATATAAATTAATCATACAGACATAAAATTGATAAAAAATACTAAATCAGTCATTAAAACATACATCACTTGTAAACAATGTGCATTACCCTACATATAAACTAAATTTATTATTTTAATGAACAAATTACAAAGTATTTATTTATAACTAATTATATATTTAAGGTATTTATTTATATTTTAATATTTATTGTATGTATCATATCAAAATAAACATTAAACTGAATATCTAATATATATATATATATATGTTTAAAATATTTCGGATATTTCGGGTTACCCGTTCGGGTTCGGTTAAATAACACTTCGTGTTCGGATTTTTTATACCATCCTATAAAACCTGTTCGGGTATTTTTACATTCGGGTCGGATAACGGGTCGGGTTTTTTGGTTCGGGTTTGGTTTGGATTTCGGGTTTCGAATTTTATGCCCAGGCCTAATCTGAAGTAAGAAATCGTCGACCTTTAAAAAAAATAGATTAGTTAATAAGTACAGTTGAGTTACGTATTTTGAAGATATACTTCAGAAACACAATGTATCATAAAATCTCAAACATGGAAAGTAAAAATTTAAAGTTTCCACCCCAAGGGGAACACAAACAAACATCATATTCCCAAATCTGAAGATAAAGAGACTTTAGACAAAATTAAAGAACCTTGCGTTGATCAAAGCACCATTTATTCAGGACCTACATAATCTAACCCGCAATAGTATAAAGCCCATTGTGTAAAGCAACGTATTAAACTTTACCTTTCTCGCAATCCAAACAATTAATTACTTAAAGCTAACTATATACCTTTCCTTCCACACAACGATGAGTTTTCTATAAATATAACGAATGTTGTCTATAGACAAAGACTTAAGTTTCCTAAAATTAACAGACAAACCCCTATGGAAAATCTCATCCTACTCATTTCCTTCAAGAGTATGGTCCCAATTCCACCTATTGTTATGGAAGAAAATGCGTTATTTGTGAAGAATGGATCTATACTGGGCGTAATTATATGTATTGTATTCAATGTAATCTATGTTTTCACAAAGAATGTTCAACCAGTTTGATGGAGAAACTGACAATAGATCGTCCTGATACACATGAGCATACACTCACCTTCATTCGGAAAAAGAACCGTTTCAACTGTGATGCTTGCGGAAGGGTCAGTACTACGGATAGGTACCCTACGGATGAGATGAATATGTACGGATGTTTGCCGTGCAATTTATTTATCCACAGAGATTGTATTGATTTACCAAAGGTTATAAAGCTCACTCGTCACTCGCACCGCTTGTTTCGTACTTTTCAAGTTCCTGGTTGTAACGTGAAATGTCGACGTTGTGTTCACCCGTTTGAATGCGGAAGTGGAGGATACATTTGTACTGACAAGACGTGTGATTATATACTCCATTCATATTGTGCAACTGATAAAGATACGTGGGATGGCAGAGATATGGAGGGAGTACCTGAAGAAACCAGTGACTCTGATCAAGATGTTATGTCGTTGATGGAGGTAGATGGCAACACGTTTCGTCATTTTAGTCACCACCATGATTTAATGAGACTTTGTGTCAATGGTGAAGAAAAAGAAGAAGGCGAACAAGTGTGTCAAGCATGCATCCTTCCCATTGACTTTGATAGTTTCTTGGGTTGTAAAGAATGTGATTTTGCACTCCATGACACTTGTGCAAATCTTCCTCGGAAGCTGGAACATATTTTTCACGTCCATCCACTGATCTTAGAAGTGAACATGGCGAACATTAAAGAAGGATTCTTCTGTTGTTCTAATTGTGAACGAGAATCATGTGGTTTCATGTATCGGTGCTGCCAAGAGGTATGTGAGTTTAAAATGGATGCAAAGTGTGTTTCCCTTACCGATCCATTACACAACGCACACAAACACCCTCTCACTTTATTGGACCGTGGGGCATGGTGTAATGAATGTACTTTCTATTTGGATGCAAAACAAGCAACTCTACCGGCGTTGGTAAAATGCAACTACGACATTCATCCACTTACCAGATGTTTTGCTGAATCAATTAAATTAACGTTGCCGTTTCGTTGTGAAATCTGTGAAATAAGAATAAAACCTGATTATCCAGTTTTACAAGATATCTATGGCTGCTTCGATTGCAACACTGTTGTACACGTTGAGTGTGCAATAGGGAAATACCCGTATCTGAAACCTGGCCATACGATCAAGCTGAATGGTTTTGAGATTGAGATTACATCCAACAGACTTTCTCGGCCTATATGCCATGCATGCCACTCTATCTGCCGAGATAAACTGGTTTTCAAGAATAAAAGCAGTGCCATCTCTTTCTGTTCTATCAACTGCATTACCTCTTCATAGAAAACCCGCATGCCATCTTACATGTATAGAGTGCTTGCGTAAAAAAATTAACATACTTCTCGCGTATTTACTTGAACCTTTTAATCTCTTTTATTTATTGTTGATGAAGGCTGTATGAAAAATAAAATATTGCTTTGCTTTTCAGTTTAGTTGTAATTTAAACCACCATGAATCGAATAAATTTGTAAGATAACTTCAGTAATCGTTACCTTCAAGAAAAAATATTATACGTTAAGTTATCTTTATCTTTATATATATTATTAGATTTTGAAAACATACTTACACCATTGCAATATAATGTTTTAAGATAAAAAATAAACATAATTAATTCCAAGTCTCCGCCTCAATACACAAGCGAAACAACATACTTCTTTACATATATATTTATTGTTTTATAATATCAGTCCTTTAAAAATAAATAAATAAATATATACATTTATTACTTTTAATCCAAACCGACTCAAGAGTTTTCATAAACACAAAATCAATAAATAAATTGAACATATATATATATATATATATATATATATATATATTTATTGTCACCTTTAAGAGAATATATTATAGTAGTTAAGTTAATTATCCTATATACTGAATTTTGAAAACATTGTTGAAATAATAAACTTGTTTTGGGTTCTCTCAATAGCCCAAGATCAAAGTATAATTATGCCTTCACACAAGAAGCCCAAGAAGAAGAAGTGTGTAGAAGGATTTATGGATAAGGCAAATAGAAGACTCTAGATCTATTTTACTAGTATAAATAGGGGTGTTTGGTTCACTTGTAAAATCATCCCACAACAAGCAAAA